TGCTGATACTATCTACCATGCACATGGCTTCTGTTCTACTCACATTAGTTACATACTCAAAAAGTCAGAGTGGCTGTTCAATGACGTTCAGATCACAGCCCAAGTCCACAGTCCATTAACTTAAGATCACCTTCGCCTGGTTCCACCTCACCTAAGCTGCTCCCTCCCCAATAAGCACTGCCAACACTCATCCTACTTGTCTTATGGCCCACACTCATTTATTTTGTCTTTTCTCAAAACCAATGTCTGAAGATCCCTCTCTCATCTTTCTTCCATTTGGGGCTATATTTCCTTCTAGATCCCTTGTGCAGATTTCTCTGATTCCACTCCCCCCACCCCCAGCACTCACTTATTTTTCTTACTCTTTGGTGCCTGGATATATATGATAAAGGTGGAAGCTATCAGACAACAATGGAGGTGTCCAGACACTTTAAGGCAGGCATGGCATGACCAGTGAAAGTACCAGAAACTGTCACAAATAGATCTGTCACAAACACTTCACCAGAGTCTTCTCACTGCTTTGCAGACTCTCTCTGAGAACTCCTTAATTTTAGAACCCAATATTGAGACCTACAACTGATCTGATCTGCTTCTCCTGTGATTTGTATTCAACTAATCTCATCCAGTGGCATAATTTCCAGTTTAATCCCCGCCCCTTTCCGACATGCTTCCTCATAAATCAGCAGTTTCACTGTATACCCTGGGCAACTGTTTCTTTCAGTCTGTACCTTTAGTGTCTGATTCCCCCACTTGCCAAGGATCAGGTGTGGGAGCTGGCCAATGGTTACTCAAAGTGTCCAGGAATAGAAATATCCAGATTGTGGGAGATTAGTCAGGTTTTTGGAGAGGGCTTGATATAAAAATCAGTGTCATCAGGCCCAAAGATCATGCGCAGATCTAAAAATAGGAGGGTGTCTGTGGCCTGGTGGGTAGTGAAACGGGAGGCTGGGCAAGCGGCAGGCCCTGCTGAATCGTAAACTGTGCAACTGGGGCACCGCTGGTCTTGTTTGTCACTGTATCCCAGTATCTTAAAAATTCTTGATAGGTCGTAGGCACTCGGTCTTTATTTGTTGTTGAATAAATAACCTGTACCTGATTCGTAGCCAGTAGTTAGAAGGCACAGGGCACTCTTTAGGGCAAGAGAAACCCTGAGTTATGCCAGTATTGTGTCACCCTAGACTTGTCAGGTGTGTCTGATTGTTCCATGCGGGCTTGTTTCATCTCGCTACTTAGCTTGTCAGCCTCATGTCTTTTCTGAGGACAGGAAATGCATCTGGGACTCAGCAAACACCAATTAGTTCAGGCTGAATTGAGCTGGGTTTCCCTGGGTAACTCCTGCAGTTTGTAATGAGTTATAAGGTTCTCCTCCAGTTAAAGAATATTGTTTTCATTTTAGTCAACAATTAGTTTAAAAAATATCCTTTCATTAAGGAAAAAAATACAAATTGGATGTTTGCAGCAAAATATGTAGCTGAATAATTATGACTGAATTGTATAGTTCATTATATCTTAGAATTTGAAATGAAATCATAGCTTTTTTCAGCTGGTTTCTATGACATGTTCTATCTTGTTCACTTCCTTTCTTAAAAGAACACGCAAAGATGAACCCTACCAGCTTCTGAGTTAGCCAGTCATCCTGTGATTTCACAATTTCCCTCCAGCTTGCCAAGACAAAATTTTTATTTTTCAGTTGTAACTCAGTTATTATTATAAGATTTTATTTAAATATAAACAGCCATTGATTTAGCATTTTTTTGACATGAAAAAATTAGACTGAGAATTGTTCCAGACATAATCTATTATTACTATCTTGACAGAGGTTGAGATGTTGTAAAGCAAGAAATAACTACTCTTACATCTGAGCCTGATGTAATGCAGGGATTTTTAGCCTCAGCACTATTGACATTTTGGACCAGATAATTCTTCATTGTGGAGGCTGCCCTGGCCTGTGTTGTAGAATGTTTAGCAGGATCTTTGGCGCCTACGTACTAGATGCTAGTAGCACCCTCCCTGCTACCTTCCTATTGCGGCAATCAAAAATGTCCCCAGATACTGCCAAATGTCCCTGAGAGGTGTGGGGGAGGGCAAATTTATGATTTGTTTGCATCAATGCCAACTTCTGAAAGACACTGCTGTCCCTTCACCGAAATTTCTTTATTGAGAACAGTGGTTCAAAAATAATCCTGAGGTCCAACATGGTGAGACTTATCCTAAGGAGGTCTTTTCATTCTCCAGGAATTTCCCAACTACATCGTCATAGTGTGATCGTAGATCAGGTAGCATTTCTTTTTTCTTTTCTTTTCTTTTTTTTTTTAATACTAGAGTTGTAATAGGCTGTAGGCTTCTTAAGAGTAACAACTCTCCTTTTCCTTTCCTTGAATTTCTTCACAGTAATAAGAATGGTGTTTAGTCTGATGAATGCATGTAATATAAGTCAGCTAACTCCATAGAAAACTCAGTTAGAAGAAATTCATATCTGCTTTTAGTTGGCAGAATGTAAATGTTGTGATGGCATGCTATTTTTTCTCTTTTATTTACTGTTGCAACTCCAGCAGTGTATCTGGTACATAGCAAGTGCTCAATAAATGTGTGATGAATGAATTATGTCATTTCCTTTCTAAAATATAGGTTTTAATGGGAGAGGTTCCTGCCCATTTCCTAAAGGACATCATTTAGAATCCTTAGGCTGGAGTTCAAGGCTCTCTTTATTTTACATTTTCTACTCTTCGCTTCTGCTTCTCTGCTATGCAATCCCACCCCTCTGACCCAAGCTTAGTTATTAACATTTTCTCAAATTCCCATGAGCATCCTTGCTAATGCACAACTGCTTACTTTGTTCTACTTGTTTAGAATGTTTTCCAAGCTCTCAAATGAATCGAATAAATATAGTACACACTTCAAGGCTCAGCTTATTTCAACTCTCTTAGGTAATATCTGACTCCATGAACCCATAGGGACCCTTCTTTGCTCAAAGCCTGAGACTTACTGGTCTGTCCCGCTCCTTGAGATGCAGCACCTTTCACTTTACAATTCTGAATTATCATTTTCATGTATGCATGTCGTTTCTCTCAAAATACATTGTAAACTTTTTGAAGGCAGGAACAAATTATCATATTTTAACACCATAGAGTCTATTAAATATCTACATAGTGCCAGAAACATAATTCTCATTAATTCTTTTATTTATTCATTTATTCAACTAATATATTTTTTTTTTGCTTTCCTACATTGTACTGGGTATGTGCTTTGAAGAAAAACAAATATGCTCCCTGTCCTCATGAGTAGTTTAGACCGGTTGAAGAAAACATGGTATCCAGTGTGGTGAGAACTAGATTTAGAGTTAGAAGATTTTGGTATGAATACTAACTTGGCCATTTTCTAGTCATGTGATCATTTAGGCTCTCAGCTCCCATCTGGGAATGATAATCCTTGCTCCAACTATCTCTCATAATAAAGAAGATCAAAGTACATTGTATTTTATGTGCAAACATTTTCTAAATGACTGGATATGCTGGCTTAAATTTTTCACAAATTCTTTGATACTCTCCCCTTCAAGAGTAGAGCCTAATTCTCCTCCTTCCGAATATGAGCTAGACTTAGTGACTTGCTTATAACAGACAGAATAAAGTAAAAGAAATGATGTAGAGTTTTGGAGACTAGATCATACAAAGGCAGTGTGTCTTTAGTCTTGGTCACCCTATTTCTTGAATTACTTGGTCTGGGGGAAGCCAGCTGCCACGTTGTGAACAGCACCACAGTGAGGCACTGAGGCCTCCTGCCAAAAGGCTTGAGCTTGGGAGCAGGACTCTCGGCCCTGGTCCCAGATGACTGAAGTCCCAGCCAACAGCTTGACTATATCCTCATGAAAGAACCAGAACCATATGACCAGCTGAGCTGCTCCTGGATTTCTGACTCCCTAGAAACCATTGGCACAATATATGTCTTATAAGTAGCTAAGTTTGGTGTAATTTGTTATGCAGTAATGAATAAATAATCCATAGAGTACTATAGAGATTCAAGGTATTATTTTTGAATACGCTAATATTTGTTAAATGAAGAATATAGTAATCTGCTAAGGTTTGTTGCTGAATGAAAAAAAAGAAGCTTAAAAAAAGAAAATTACAAAACTTTAAGAACTAGAAAAAATCAGATGTAAAACTTCTAATGGGAGATTTGCAGGCATTTCTCATTCTGCCAAATACTTCATTTTCTGAGGTATCAATCTGTGACAGTGACTGCAGGCTATATATCAAAGGCTACAGGTTAAAGAAATTGTTCATCCCTACCAACTGCTTTTGTTTTATTCCATTTTCAGTTCTCATTTTAAGCTAAAATTAATAGTTTTAATTAAATAAGAATGAAACAGTATTTCTCTGCATAGAATGTACATTGTGTATGTGTATTAGAGAAAGCCACCACAGTTCTTTTTTAAATACAAAGGCCATGAACATGGGAATTTATGATTTGTTGCATCAATGCCAGCTTCTGAAAGACTCTGTTATCGCTTTGCCATACAAACACTCACCCAGCCTGACCTCCGCTATTAATAATGCCACTGAGAGGCTAAATTCATAGTCCTCACCAGTCAACTTGATCTAAATTAATTTGAACCAGAGCAAATTTAAATTTAAAACTATCTACTCACCTCTGGTCCACAGGATCCTCATTTACAACCAATTTCTTAAACATCTCACTGAGAACACAGCTATGGGGGAGAATAGTCAATTTATTAACCTATTTAATAATAAATATAAAATTGAACTCACTGAATATTTGTTGACTCTGATTTTGTCACAGCTTGAAATGAGGGGCTTTGGAAGCTGTGCTAACTCCTAACTCGTAGAAACCATGAGAATAGTTCTTACTATGTTTATCTACAATGTCATAGATTAGAAAAGGCCATGGATCATACAAATTTTCTGAATTTTTTTCTTTATCAATCTGCTTTGTTAAAGAATTAATAGCTCATGGAAATTAAAACAGTGTGAAAACATTCTTACTTGTAGGAGGTATGCTGTTGGCTGAAGAAGGTTGAATGTCAAGGGTAGATTCTGTAAAATTTAATGCAGGATTTGTTGGAGGGGCCACTGAGCCTGAAAGGAAGAAATATTTATAATGAACAAAAATATTGTAATAAAAAGATAAAGTGTTGACTTAGTCCCCCTAAAAAACTTAGTTTATTCATCTAACAAATCATTACTGAGGGCTTTTTATAGGCAAGGTAGTGGGATATTATGGTGCATGGCAAACATGAGCCATCTTTAAAGAGCATACAGCCTGATTAATAGGTAGGTAGCCAAGCACTGTGTTGAGTGCTGTTACAGTGTAAGTGCAGGGTGCCACGAGAATGCAAAAGAAGGGTACCAATCAAGATTAGGAGGTCAGAGAAGACTTCCTGGAGAAAGTGACATTTAACCAAGACCCGATAAAACAATAGTAGCAGCTAATAATTTGAAGTATTTGAAAAGTAACCCTACAGTTTACAAATCATAAACCCATTTGAAAAGTATTCGTACAGTTTACAAATCCATAATACCATAATTTTTTTTATCAGCAAGAGTAGAAACAATGATACAACTATCAAATTGGTTGTAACACCAATGAACCTAAGATTGATGGTATTATACTCTTTCTAAAGTGTTTATTTTTGTCACAAAATTTTTGTTTGGCTACATTTGAACTCTCTGTGTGGGGAATACATTGTTTTACTTATCATATTATATATTCGTTTCAATTCCTTAAAGCCTCCATTATTTTACTGTAAAATATTCCTACTAGAAATATAAAACAATTTACAAATGCCGGAAGGATCTACTGACTTTAAGAACATGTGTATTAAATATGATTAAGTAATTTTGAGACTAGAGGACTTTGTGATTTTCTAGATAGAATGGTATTGGGTATAGTGTCACATACCAGATGTCAATTATTTGGATATTTAATTACGAATTATACTATTGGTTCTACTCTGTAATTTACTTTAAGATAAAAGTATGTATTATTTCTGTCACTTGATATCACATAGTATATTGGAAAGAATTTCTTCTTGTAATCTGGATGCATCTATGTTTTATTCTCATTGTTGATAGTGTTGTTATTGCCATTGGCTGTAGGTGGCACTAACAGCTGGCTCTGACTTGCTGTCATATAAATGATTCTTTGTTATTAATCTCTGAGGAGGTGTAGGATGAGAGTAGTTATATGGAGAATATATGAATATGTCAGCAAAATGACCAGCTTCTTCTCCCGTGCCATCCCAAATAACTTTGAACTCTTTAGCGATTATGATTTGGCCTGCTATTATATCCCTTAACTTCACTTTCTAATTCTGCCTATTATCTGATACTTCTTTCTCAAATATCCCCTATCTCACAAGAGATAGTTCAGCATAGTTTCTCAAACACAATATGCTCTCCATGACTTCTTGGTCTTCGAGTATGGTTTCGATTTTACCCCAAACCTCCTGTAATTGACCTCCTCAAACATAAAGACTAGGGATCATTGTGGTGTGCTTATAGACCTCAGTGTTTACCCTAGCAAAGGCCTCATTATTCATCAAGTATGCTCTTCAAGAGAAGTAATCGTTTTGCTCCTCAGTTTGTACTTTTGTATTTTATGCAAGTGGATGAACGAATGCCTACAAATTCCTTCTTAATATTGAAAGAAAGAAGACCAGCTTTAAGTACATAGCTAACTAATGGTGCATAAGAAACATCATCTTCCAAATTAATACCCTTAATGAGTTGGAGCATGGACCTGAAAAAATAATACATAGGTGTTTTTCTTTGTAGATTTATTAGAACAGAGGTTGGCAAACTATGGCCCGCAAGTCAAATCCCATTCATCATCTATGCTTGTAAATAAAGTTTTATTGGAACAAAGCCACACCCATTTGTTTACATATTGTCTATGCCTGATTTTGTACTATCATGGCAGAGCTGAGTATTTGAGATAGGAACCATATGGTCCACAAACATAAAATATTTACTACCTGGCAAATAAAAACAGAAAAATATGCCAACTCTTGGAACAGAATATGTTGATAGATTATGTTCAATCCTGGATTTCCACAATGGAAAGCATTTATTTTTCAATTATTGAATATTTTTATCTTCGGATGTTATTTTGCTATATTTCATCACCAAATATCTTTGTAAGAAGAGGGATTCTTGAGTCAGACAGCCTCAAAATGCATTAGAAAGTTATTACTCTGAGATTTGCATTTTGAGATGAACTCTTTGCTTTCTGACAAAAGTAATACATAGCTTTCAAGATGAAACATGAAGCCAAAAACATCTTTTTAGTTTCAGACTGGCCTGCAAAATAGAAACTCTGCCTTGGTCAAAACAAAACTCAGGGAGTGTAAGAAGGAGAGGGTAAAACCTAATAGGAAAAAATTGTTTCCCAAGACTCAAAAGCAGAACTAGCAGAAACACGTCATCCAGTTTTCAGACCACTTCATTTACCATAATGTTGTCAGGGGCTGAGCTGCTGGTCGAAAGCACTTGCATTCATTCCTGACTGTGTCCACTCTGCAGCAGTCCTGGCAGGGCCCTCAGGACCACTTTCATGAGGAGCAAGGACCATGTGTCTCTCCCATGGGGCAGCTGGGTTAATTCTAGGGCTTCCTCAGAGCTTGAACCAGCCTGTAGCTGATCCACCTAGAAATGAAGCAAACCCCAGGGCTTGCTAGGTTCTTGCTTCTCAAATTATGGTCCGTGGCTTCTCTTAGGAGCTTATTAGAAATGCAGAATCTCAGGCACTCTTTAGCACTCCCATCCTGATTTACTGAATCAAAATCTGCATTTTAACAAAATCCTTGGCTGATGAATATGCATATTGAAATTCTTTATTGATACTCTCAGGATCCCCAGGATTAGTCATGGGTACGAAGAAAATCATGAAACAGGATTTGTGTGGCATATCCCTCTTCAATATTCAGTGTTTCTCTCATCCCATTATTGAGTTATTCCTTTGTAATCCTCAGTCTACACCCCAAAAGACACATACACGCACTCACTTGCACAACTGAACTCTCTTTCTATCCCAAAGGTCTTGATCTTAACTGTTATGGTTGGAAAGCCATTTAATAAACAAATCTCTGTCCATGCTGAAGACAGCCAGGATATTCCCCACCATAGCGGGTATTTGTACTCAATGTTTGGATTAAAACAAAACAAAACATTCCCTTCACCTCAAAACACAAAGAAAGAAAGAAACAAATAAATGCTTGTATATATCAAAAAAAAAAATTGACTCTGTATTACTGTAATTTCAGACATTCTGATAAGCTGGGCTAGCAGGATAGGATATTTTGGGAAAGAGCTTTCTTTTCTTAAAATTTACTGTTGAATCACAGGAATCTGTAGGTTTTGGTACTCAAATAACTGCTCAATAAGCCACTGATCACCCTTACACTGATCCTTTTTCCTTTCTGAGTTTTCTAGAATAAGAATTACTAAGTACTTAGACTTCCTGGGAAACTGGGGGTCGGTGGGATAGGGAGCACATCAGAGGGCTGTTACTTTGCAGCCTTTTAACATTATTACTCTTCTTTGAGAACAAAAAGGAGCAAAAAATTCTCTCCTTCTCTCACTGAAACTCCTTTTTGCTGTGTAATATTCTCAGAATTTCTCTGCTTTAGCACTTGACAAATTTTTCCTCTGTACTTTTGTCTTAATATCTGTCAACAATAATAGCTTGATAAGGCAATGACTCTTAGATAAGTCATCAGAAGTTTACTCCAGAGTTCATACAGCATCCCACAGTACTACCACAGGCAGAGAAAGCATGTTTGGAAGTAAATGCCTATGAACTACAACAAATAGGGATACATGATACAAAGACATATGTCAGAATGTGACCAGAGTATAAGCTATAATTTTAGGACACTGGACTCTTCAAGATTTATTGTCTTTAATATTTCATCATAAAGGATAAAGACTCATTTGAAAATTTAAAAATAACCATCTGCTCAGAGCCTAAAATTATACTAGATCCAGAACTATCTTATTATTGGAATTATGGTGTGCTTTGAGTATCAGAATCAGTGCTCTTCCATATTACCCTAAGAAAAATTACTATTTTCTGACCTTAAAACTAAGCCCAGTTCAAGAGAAAGAGAAGAAAAGCCATAGACCAAGAGAGTAATATTTACAAATCACACATAAAGTACTATTATCTGATAAAGTAGTATTATCCAAACCACAAAGAACTCAAAATTCAACAGTAAGAAAACAAACTATCTGATTTAAAAATAGGCCAAAGACTTTAACAAATACTTCACCAGAGAACATATACACATGTCAAATAAGCATATGAAAAGATGCTCCACATCATATGTCATCAGAGAAATGCAAATTAAAACAATGATAAAATAACATTACACAACTATTAGAATGGCTGAAATCCAGAATATTGACAATATAAAATGTTGGCAAGGATGTGGAGGAACAGAACTCTCATTCATTGCTGGTGGGAATGCAAAATGGTACAGCCATTTTGAAAGACAGTTAAGTGATTTCTTAGAAAACTAAACATACTCTTACAGTACAAAACAGCAACTATGCTCCTTGGCATGTACTAAAGCAGTTGAAAACTCATGCCCGCACAAAGACCTGCACATGATTGTTTACAGTTGCCAAAACTTGAGAGCAACCAAGATGTCCTTCAGTAAGTGAATGAATACATAAACTGTAGTATATGCATACAATGGAATATTATTCAGCACTAAAATAAAGAACTATCAAGCCATGAAAAGGCATGGAGGAACCCTAAGTATATATTACCAAGTGAAAGAAACCAATCTGTAATGTTACCTACTGTATGATTCTGACATAACGCTGCAAAAAGACAAAATATAGAGAGAGTAAGAAGCTCAGAGCTCGCCAGGGGTTGAGTGAAGTGAGAAAAAGACGAATAGGTGGAGCACAGAGAGTTTTAGGGCAGAAAAATAATCTGATACTATGATACTATGGGTACATGTCATTATACATTTGTCCAAACTCATCAAATGTACCATGCTAAGAATGAATCCTGAGGTAAACTATGGACTTTGGGTGATTATGATGTGTCAATGTAGTTTCATCCTTGCTAAAAATGTACCTTTCTAGTGAGTGATGTTGATAATGAGGGTGAATATGCACATGTGAAGGGAGGGTACATGGAAAATCTCTGTTCCTTTTAATTTTGCTGTTAACTTAAAACTGCTCTTAAAAATTGTCTTTAAACAAACAAACAGAAAAGCCTAGTTTTGTCTATGGCCATGCCACCCTGAACAAGCCTGATCCTCTCTGATCTCGGAAGCTAAGCAGGTCAGGCCTGGTTAGTACTTGGGTGGGAGACCACCTAAGACCAAGTGCTATAGGAGTAAAAAAAAAAAAAAGAGATTGTAAGCTGACAAGGTCCTTGCAATCTGCGAGGTCAACCAAGGGTTGCCTCGCCTAACAAACAAACAAACAAACAAACAAATAAATAAATGAATAAAATGAAAAGAAAAAGCCTAGTTTTAACATCAGAAAATATTGTTTTTTTAAATATAGTTCTGCCCATGGTGGGCATAGGGTTCTCCTTAGGAATCTGAGCTTGTCTGCTCTTTAGTGCATGTCCTTGATTCTGCTAAAGCTATTGGAAATCTATATGAGAACCAGTCACCTTTACACTGTTCCGAGACTGCAGCTCTAACTATGTCTAGCCTTCTAGAAAGGAGATGTATTTATTTTTTTAAAGAATTAGGCAAAATTGAGTATGGACGTTGTATTGTAAAACCATGACATTTTCTAAATGACTAACTCTAAGTTCGCAGGACAATGCAGAGTTACAGGGGTGGTGCCACTGTCCTAGTATCAGATTGGCACTGGCTTCTAAATAGTGGAGAATAGATTTGCAGTGAGCCATACACCTTTTTACATACAAGGATCCTAGGAACCAATCACCTGCATTTGTGACAGAGCTGGGAAGGACCCAAGATGCAGACTGTGGCTTTAAAACAAAACTTTCCCTCATAAATTATTCTGGTTTTTATGAGTATGTTATAGACTACAATATTTCTGAAAATAAGAAGGTGGTAAAAGATGTTAATAGTCCTGCAGAGTTTAATGATGACTTGCAAATCTGTTAAAGTTTTATAGATTTTACTTTACTGTTATATATGCATATTTGACAGTTGTCATTACAAGCTTCTTTTTTTTTTTTTAATAGGCCATCTGTTGTCACTGTATTTGTTGAAATATTTGTTCACATCTTTTATATGGTAAAATCTACATTATTTAATCTGGTTCAAAGTAGTTAACATTCTGGTTAACCAAATGTTAGAATAAGTAGAATGATCCTACATATTGATTTTCAAGTCATAAACATCTTCTATGTGCCAGATTCTGTGCTTCAAACTGGGATGCTAAAATCATTATGATACAGCCCCTGTCCTCAAGGTATTTATGTCTTATATATTATCTATTTCTAAGTACATATGCTATATATAATTGAATGTTTTTAGTGATTCAGAAAGAATTTGAGGATTTTTTAAATCTCTCTTGATCATCAATATATTAGTGTTAATTTTCATTACATGGTAGATTAACAAAAATGCTAGTTAATTAAGAGTTATTAATAGAATTTGAACAAAAAATTTGCTGTATTCACCAGAAATTCTTGAAAACAGGAATTGTTAAGTTTTATATGAGGAAATTCTTTTCAGTAGAGTCCCATTTATCAAAAGATGTTTGCTACTTTGAAATTTAATAATTTTGAGTTTTGTGAATGAGTTTCTGAGATTAAAATATCATGGATATCATGAATATTCTATTTCTTCCAATTAGAAGTGTTCTGAACTTATGGCAGACTTGACCATGCCTTGCTGACCTTATTAAATAGACAACTCACCCAAGGAAAAAGTGATCTTTTTGGATGAGATATTCCACACTTTATTTCCAGGGACTGGAGACAGAGCCATACACCAGATGGTCAGGTTGTTCGATTGGGCTGGTTTATTGCCATACACCCTTGTCAAAACAGACTTCAGTTCCAAAAATCCACCTTTGTTTTTTCTCTCTTCAGTAGTAGTGTAGATTTCTACAAGACAGATAAGAAGAAAATTTGTCATCAACATTTTGTGAATCATACAGTGATGCCATGGCTGGAGACGGTTCAGTTTATGGTAATGTAGCCTAAAGTGGTCAAACCACAGCTTCTATGCAGTAGGTTTTGTTCCAGCAGGTCTGGAATTAACCAGAACTGTTTTGCTCAAGCTTCTGCATGGCATTGATCCATGGTCAAGGTGTGAAATTTGTGTTTCTTTGTTTGTGACCATGGATCCAGGGAGGTTGGAGGCAGGCTGTCATTGTTTTTTGATAATTGTGAGATTGATGAATTGTATCTGGCTGGGTGAGAACCTGGGAGGGCTCTGCTATTGAGTCTGGGTACACAGCAGGAACATGACTAAGTGACTAGTAAAATATAAAACAACCTCAGCAGAGACTCCATTTTGGACTCCATGTTTCTGAGATGTTTTGTGCCATATTGGTGGTTCCCTTTCCACAGGTCATCCTAAAGAGGAGCCCATGCCCAACTTCTCTGGATCTCTTTCTGTAAATATACATGTGATACATATACTTACTTTAACAGAGTTGCTGCAGTGTATCCTTTTCCTGAATAAGCTGTAGATTTATGACCATTGCCATTTTGGGTCCTGTGAGTCTTCTTTAGAAAAAGAACCCTGTTTAAGTGCTACTGTTAGTCCAACCTTCAAATCGCATACGTGGCCATAACTTTCTCGACTCTCACAGCTGTTTTACATGAAATGTTCTACACTTGTTATTACTTGCCAGAGTCATAACTAAATGCAGTTGTATGCTGGTAGAATTCTGAACACATTGTCTGGCCTTATGGTTGGGAGGGTAATTAGGCACATTAAATTAGGGCTTAATAGGACATATTGATAATGACTTTTAACAGAAATTTTCAGGATTTCAATCCTGTCATTATTGTGGGTGAACTGTTTTCAAAGTGAAAATAACAAAACCAATAGTAGTCTCAAAGTGAATCAAGTGCGTCAATATAATCATTCGGCAACACATACTTTTAACTTTATCAATTAAAAGCGGGGAGGGGGAGATAAAAGGAGTCAAATATTTAGTGGTGGAAGGAAATTTAACTTTGGCTGGTAAACACACAATGCAATATACATATGAAATATTATTGAATTCTATCTTTGAAACTTATTTGATTTTATTAACCAATATCACCTCAATAATTTTAATAAAAAATAAGTAAAAAGAAAAAAGAAAAAAATAATAATGTAGCAAGAATTCTGTGACTGAATTATTGTTGAGAATATATTGTGCTTTGAGGATAAAAGGACTCAGGAGAAAGGAGAAGGGCTGTTGTCTCAGGCAAGGGATGCCTGAGATTGTTCTAGCAGAGACTGTCATGTTTATCATCTATGAAAAATATGGCTTTGTCATTCTCACCTGAGCTTGTCTTAATGTGTGTTCCTGTTTCAGGAACTTTTAATCCTCCTGGTGAGCATGTTCCTTGTCATGAAGCCAAGTTCTTTATGTATAATTTCTATAATCTACCCCTACCACCAATCCACCCAGGTCCTTACAAGAAAATGCAGAAATCATTTGTTTATTGACTTAAAGCATTGGTACTAAGTTAACTGAACTACATAAAATTATTAATAAATGTATGTTGAGTTAAACTTTTTTGTCCTCGTATAAGAGATCTGCTTTTACTAACAATTAAATAAACCTTAATGTTTATATGTGAGTTGATGAAGTCAACTGTATTTCTTACATTCTAGGAAAGGTTATCCCTCATCCCATTAGAGCCATCAGATGAGCTATCTGAAAGTGGCATCTGGTAGGCCAGATGATGTTTTTCTTGGAATGAGAATTGTTCTTAATTGCCAAGATCAACTTGGGCAATGGCAATTTCTTTTGTTCTTTGCTTTCTCTCTTCGTTTGCCAAATCCACTTCCACTGAGTTTCCTTACCTTCTCTTTCGCCTTGAGGAAAGCTTCTGTCTATAAACCATGTGAGATTTGCTGTGGGATATACATTCCTCAGTGAGCAGGTAAATATTCTCTGAGGGAAAACAGGACACAGAACAGATTATTTGAAAATTCAGAAGAAACTGGTGCTTCTTACACCTCCAGCAACCCTCACAAGAGGTAAACTAGCAGGAAACAATTTTCTCCACTTTTAACAAGGCAGTGTTTATCTTTAAGAGGTTGTGTGAAAATGTGAACTATAAATGGAATTTCGCTTATAAAGATGTTATACATTAATGGCTAGAACCCTAGGTCAACTTAAGAAAATCTAGGACAATATTAATGTTGCAAATCTGATTTCTGGGTTCTGAAAAAGGAAAATTACAACTCTACATATGCAGAATAAAATAGTGCTAACTGGAAACCAAAGGATAAAAGGAAGAAGCTATAGCAGGCAGAGCCCAGAGAATAATATTGTTAGTCTAAAAGCTAAATGAGAACTGTACTTTGGTTGTTTCTATTCCTCAAATAATGTAACGTACTATTTGTAGCAACAACCACAGACACCATTAATATAAATATTTCACTTTTGACTTGTAAAGAGTTTTCCTAATTCATTTTTAAATTTTATCATCTTAATAATCCTATAGGATAGGTAGGACACACATTATTGGCTTTTGACATATGAGGAAACCAAAGCACAGAATCACAGAATGGTTAAAGGGAGTGGAATATAGTTGATGATATGATTGGGAACAATGTTACCTCAATCCCAATCTAATATATTTCCTGGTAAAACACATTGTGTTGGAATAAAAAAGAAACAGAACAGTTTATGTTAGCTTATGTTACAAAACCAGAAAGTTTAGCAGTAGGGTTAGTTATGTTTTATTTCCAACACTGTTTGTTCTTTGTAAGATGGTGGTTGCTTCAAAAGCCTGGTGAAAATATCCAATAAGACTTATTGGATCCCCATTATTTTATCTGAGATACTGCAAAATTATCATCCCATTTATAGTTACTTATTTTCTCATCAAGAGATGTATGTATTTCGTATATGACCAGCCCTAGTTCTTAGTTCTCAAATATTTTTCATAACTTATAAATATATTAGTTAACTAATAAAGAACAATTAACTGTGTGTGATGCTTGGTGTGCCAATTTCCCCACAGACTAGTTACTCCCAAAGCACCTGTACCCATAGAGCTGAGAAACCAAACTGAAGCATATTAAGTTAAATTTCTCTGGTGAGATCCTACTGAGGTGCAGCCTAACATCCTTCAGTATATCTCTACAAAAGTCCCAAGGAAATAATGAGACTTTCAGAGGAAGCCATATGTCTTATAGAAGATGGTAGGTAGTAAGCACTGCAGCTCCCGGTTTTTTCACTCATTCAACACTTGACAGAGGGGATAAATGCATGAGGCAGGAACGCAGGCCCGTGTAATTATGCCACTTTCTGTCCTAGAAAATCAAAAGCAAAAACAGGTCCCCTAAACTATATTCTTATTAAGTATAGGAAAAGGAATTCAGTTCATTTAATGTAATAAAATGCCAATGATTCATGTTTATCTCTAAGTAGTCCCTAAAGGGATGTAAGAGTTATATAACATGAAATGCTAAAAAAGGTATTAATGTCAATATGTTAAATCGCTCTTATGATTCATTTCCTCCATGCTCATTTAACTCACCAAAAGCTGATATGATAATATCGTTAACAAGTGAGGGTTCCATAATTTTACAAAGGTAAATGAGTAAGAACTAAAACACATTAAATTTGTAAAAAGAAAAAAATGAAATAAATGTGTACAAAAGTCCATGTCCACACATATACAAGTGCATGCACACACACACACATACGCACACACATACACACACACACACGCACACTGTGTTCCTCTGTTTAGAAGTAAAATCACTCACTCACTCATTGTGTACCTGTCGCATCTGTGAAACAAACCAAATAATTTGTTTCTCCAACGCATCATTCTAAGTAAACATAGAATAAGTGAGCAATAGCACAAGAGTTATGTAAAAGGTGCCAAAAAAACTTGGGCAGTTCTGTAGGAATTCAGAAAAGGGTAAAATCTGGGAAGAATTTAGAGAACAGAGTTGTATGTTATGGACAGGCAAGAGATTGGCCTGAACTCTACAGGTGGTCTGTATTAGAAAGTAGTGGGGAATTCTCAAAGATGGATAGATGGAATGGGTTCACAGGACAGGTGTGACTGGGGATGTCCTGGAAGCAGAGGGAAGCCAGCTGATGGTTGGAGCATGATGAGATTGATAAGTCAGGAAAGATGGATCCAAATCTGGTTCTAAGACTGATCATTTCCATATTTTCACAGATGAAATACAGAAATGGTGACCATTTGTCAGTTAGGCTATATTCAGTTTGCCTAAATTTGACAGAACCTTGTCCAAAGGCTTTTTATGGAATAATTTTGAAAATATTTAGTTTTTTTGTATAGAAAGATAAATCTTTTTAAAAAAGTTTCCCTATGTTTTGTAACTGTGCAAAAACTTTTACTTATTTAAAATGAATTTTCCTCTTCTCTTTCTCTTCAATTCAAACTAGCCTTGTCTGGTCTAACTGCACCATGACTCATTGATTCTTTCCTTTTCTTTCCACTTTTGCACATACTGCACGTCCACTCCTTTAATCATTAAACCCTTAAGACATCAGATTCTGGTCAGCGTCAATCAGTCTTAGGAACAAAGCCTCGGGTCTGTTGACCACAGAAACAGAGTTTCCGTCAAACTAAAGATAACATCTTTACTTCAGTTGTGTTTTAGCTCTAGACCCATGAACATGGAACAACCTTACCAGCTCCATCCCCTCAAACCAGACAGAACGTTTCCATGACTGACATCAGGACCTGGTGCAATGATCAACTGCTTTCTACCTTAGTCTTAACCAATCAGTAGAGCCCATGGCCCCAACTCCCTTAGTTACCATGACTAATGGTTTTCCCCATATGTAACCTATCCCCTAGAGGCCATCAGGGAGCTAGGTCTTAAGAGCACTAGCTCTTAAAGAGCTAGTTTATTTAATAAACCTCTACTTTCTTTGCTGCAAACTCCTATTCATGTCTCAGTGGGCTTTGATGAGTGCAGACAAATGAACGCCTTGAGTTTGGTAATGGTTTACCAACTTTTATTCCTTTTGGAGTCTTTCTTCCCCCACTTTTCTTTCCATTTGAAATTTAACTTTAAGTCTCTACATGTATTTTACTCTGCCCTTTCTATCTTTTCTCCTTTAACTCAAGGTTTTTTCTTCCACTTCTTTAAAATGTTCTGTCTCCTCTTGGCATGCTTTCCTTCTTACACACACACACACACACACACACATACACACACACACATACAATCTCATAGTATATATATATATACATACATGCACACATATTCATTTATTTATAATATGTATGGAAATATGTATTTTTTTGCTTCATTTACTATTATCCCTTTATTTCAATATAATAAAAAGCAACCTCAAATCTGTTTCTCAGATTTGCTGTGTTTCTTTGAATTTGGGGATTTCCTTTCACTTAATCTTCCCTTTCCTGCAAGTTCTTTGGCTTCCCACTTACTATATTTACAACATCTATAGTTACTAAACCAAATAAAGACTCCTGGTCTGACAATTGGACAAAATATTTGAAAACACAGATGTCCTTGAGTCATGTGGTTTCACTGCCTGTATTTCACCCCTTTCTCCTAAATCTCCTTCCTTTGAAAGTCAGATGATCTAGACACCTAGAAACAGAACTAAGATGGGTGGGTGCCGGATATGTTGTTTTATTATCTGACATTTGCCAGGAACATCTTTTCGGTGGAGGGGGTGGAGAAAATTTTACATCTGTGTCTGTGCTGCAAAAAACACACAGGCAGGGACACACCCACTTGGAAACAAGGCTTGGAAATGGGAGGGAACAAGAACCGGAGGTACCCTCCTCCAAGGGGCAGGAGTCAGCTAATAACTACCCAACGTGCAGGAGCACTCACCCTGCACTGGAGGCATCAGAGACAAGACCAGAGCCTTGCTTTTCTGTAAGTACCTACTTGTGGCTGGAGACTGTTCCCTAACTGTTCAAGGTTGCAAAGCTTGATGAGTAAAGCTCTCATTCATTGAGAAATGACCCAAGTAGTGAGTCAGAGGTAAGGCCACTTTAAAAATGTAGTATAATTTTCCAATTATTTTTATCCTTAGAATGGGGTAAATAAGCCAAACATCTGGAGTAAGCCGCTGTCAGGAGAGTCTTATCAGCTATCGGCCTTGCAGGTGGTGGTGCCAGGGAAGGTGGAGTGTGCCAAGCTGCTTGCCAGGGACCACCAGGTGACACCGAGCCTGTGGAGATGTGTTCCAGCTCTTTCCTCTGTGCATGCCAGCTCCTCCTGTTGAAAACAGCTAAGCCTGCTGTTGGATTTCTTAAAATTCTGGCACCAGAGGGACTTCTCTAGGGACAAACTGACCTCACAGGAAGAACTTTATTTCCGAGATCCTGGCAGGTTTTGTTGCCTCTGGACTGCTTTTTTGCGACAGTTCTTAGGAAGTACGAGTCTCTCCCATATCGGCATCTGTCCGTGTTTGCCAGACTGAGGAAGACCTGGTAAGGCCCTATTCCTGGATGTCCTGAACAGCCTGAACCCTGAAGCTGCTCCTCTTGCTTCCAAAGGCATTTTTTAGTTATCGGGACCATAGACACACTGGAAGCAGCCAGGAGGAAATCAAGAGAAAAGCTGAAGTTTTCAATATTCAAAAAAGACTGCGGTGGTGGTTGATGTAGAGGACACTGAGTCCACTGAAGAGCTTTGTAATTGTTGCACTAATTTGTTTTGTCTCTGTGGCCCGGCCAGGGAGGGATCAGTACATATCTGGGGCACAGAGGGGAATATACGTGAGATCCTCAGAGGCCATTTTGCTTAGCCCTGACTCACCCCGACTCTCCAGTGAAGCAGAAAGGAGGAACATCACACCAGCCTTTAACCATTATTGCGAATCCCCAAGAGTTATTACACAGTCCCTCCCCAAATATACATTTAACCTTAGTTGTGGTTCAACTAAAACTACTGGCTCAAGGAAAACTGTAAAAGAGGAGATAGGATGAGGCGGGAAGAGGAAGAAGAAGAGAGAACCAGGATTAAGGCGAAAGGGGACTTAGAGATGAAGGAGGAGGAGGAAATTGGTGAAAAAGGAGAACTAGTTGGCCCTTTTGTGAGTGCCGTGCCCCATAACAAGGGGGCCCGGGTTTCTGAGGCATGGGAATATTTTCACCTGGCCCCTGCTCGTGCTGGGCACCATCCCAACCAATATGCCACCTGCCGCCTGTGTGGCAGGCAGGTGAGCCGTGGCCCTGGGGTTAACGTGGGCACCACAGCTCTGTGGAAGCATCTGAAGAGCATGCATAGAAAAGAGCTGGAGAGCGGCCATGGTCAGGCAGGGCAGCACCAGGACCCAAAACCCCCAGGGCCCCCGCTCACACTAGGTATCGAGGGCGACTGGGCCAGGATCCTGGAGCAGGTGGGTGCCTTGGCATTATGGGCCAGCCAAAGAGAAAAGGAGGTTCTTAGGAGGGAGAGGGCAGTGGAATGGCGGGAGAGGGCTGTGGAAAGGAGAGAGCGAACTCTGGAGGAGGTGGGAAGGGCCATGCTGGAGATGAAATGGAAGATGAAGGCTGAGAAAGAGGCCTGCCAGAGGGAGGCAGACAAGCCTGCAGTAGCTCATCCCTTCCATTTCGTTTAAATCGGGCTTGGGGAAATCTATTTTAAAAACACCAAATTTAGACTCATAGCAAAGAGCCATTTTAGTTTCAGCTTAAATATATATAGCAAAGCAATTTAGTGGGATTTTTTTTTTAAGAGAAAAAGTACATAGTATAAGTTAATCTCAGCAGTTCTGAATTGACCAAATGCTTATCTATAGGGTTTCTGGAGTAGTACTGACCAAAACTTTAAAATGTACTAACCAAAGATAAATGTTTTGCCATCATGGGTCTGTGAGTTGTTCTGGGGTAGAATGTACCAGCCTGTCAGGACTGAATAGTGAAAATAGTAGGGTTTATGTCTCGCACTTGGTTTTGGTGAAGCTAAAGGTTTTGACGGTTGAGGCTGGTCGGGAAGCTAGAATGTGCCTAGGTGACTAGCTCACTCTAAGAAACTCCAGGAGCAGAGCTTAGGCTGCCTGAGACACAGGAGTTTGCACACACGCTGGTAATGATCTGAGAATTGGATACAACGCTCGTTCTGTGGAATCCAGCATTGGAAGGACACAGAAGCTTGAGCCTGAGATCTCCAGGCTCTTCCAAAGTTTATCTTTCTCTCATTGTTGCAGTGTTGTACCAAACTGCTTATAGTAAAGCTGTTTTATCACTATAACTTGTTTGTATCTTGTCTTTTCAACAATTTAACACATAAGTAATTAATGAGTAATTAGCACAAAGAAAAAGACTTTTCAGCTCACTTGAATTAAACATAAAGATAGAGGACATAAAAATTTATTCATAAATATTTAAAAATACAATCTTGTTTCATATTAGATTGTTATAGGAGAAAGACTTAGTGAGGGAGAGATGAAAGAAACTCAGAAATAAAATGAAAAAGATGGAGAGATAAGGTAAATAAGGAGAAATAAAGAAGAGGCAGAAAAGTTAAAAAGAAAAAGGAATGGAGAAAAAACGTAAATGTAAGAGAAGAGAGACAGCTTCCTAGAAAAAATTCACCGTGGAAAGAGAGAGCACGACTGCCTTGGAGAAGGAAAGAGAGAACATTTTCTTAGATTCCAAGGTCAGTTTGAATGAGCTAAGTTGCTTCTGTGTTGTCCCCACAGAACACACAGACCACTCATCCATTTGAGCAGCAGGTTTGGGATTTTATTCCTGCCTCTGACATACTAATTGCATATCATTTATTGTTGTCAGATTTTTTTTTAAAACTCTTTATCTTTAAATATTCAGAGATGTTAAAAAAAAAAAGAGAGAAAGAGCCTATCAGTTTATAGAAAGAGAAAAATTCCCTGGGCTGCTGAAGCTATGCCTAAAATGTTAACTCAAGAATAGAATAAAAACAAAGTAGGAATGACTCTGGCCTTTGTAGGGGAGCTGACTTTTTTTTTTTAACAATTCCTCTGGAACTTTTTATTTTTTAACTGGGTTGGGAGTGGAGAAAGGGGGGATGGTAAACTGGGGAGACAAGAAGATCTAAAGACAGTATCTCATTGTCTTATAGATAACCCAAGTACCTTATGGGCACTGACCTCCCTGAAAGCCAACAGGATCCTAGTATAATAATGGCATTTTGCCTCTTTCAGTCTTCATTTGTGGGATTCCCTCTTATTGTTTGCTCTTAGACTCTATCAGCAGCTTTAACAGAAAGATCTGTCTTCTCTGTGAGGTGTTTGTAGAAAAAACACAAGTCTAAATAGCAGGCTTGTGAAAAAATCAGGCTATACTGCAGACTTGTAATCACCATTTTTTTTTTCTAGAAATCTGCTTGTTATTAAAAATTTCACTTCTCATGTGGTTTCCCCACTGGGGTGTGGTGTCCCTTTGAGGGTCCCCTCTAGCTGTGTGAAAGCGCAGGTGCTCACCACCTCAGCAATGATAGCAGCTGGCAATCATGTGGCTGGACACTTGGACTCAGCCTTATTGTGCCACAAGATACTAGAAAATATTAAAAAGAAAAGAAAAGAGGCTGCAATACCTAACCTTACACACACACACACAAGCGCACATATGCACACACAAAGCACATACCTGTAATAAAACTTAAGAATGAATATCTACATACAAAGATTCAGGCTTTGCAACACAAAAATTAAATTGTGCAAACAGTTACTGAAGCCATCTTGCAAAACTCCAACTTGTGTTTTAGATTATAGAATCTGCTTTACATGGTTCTTATTATTACAAGGCTCTCTTCCTTCTTAGGCATTTTAACCCCAACTGCTTTTGTTTCCTATGTTTTATGTTAGGTAGTTTTCTTTATGTTTTTTTTTTTTCCTAAATTTTGTCAAACATAATAACAATAAAGAATGACAAGGACAGGTCCCATGTAAATGAGCATAAAGTACAGGCATAAAAGAGAAAGGCATGGCTTGTGGGAAGACTGAACTGTTGAGTCAGCTCTGCAGTTTTCATGTATTTCTCTTGTGCCTCCTTTCACTGCATCACCAGAGTTGGGTGTAGATGGCCAGGGACTCTTGGCTGAGGAATTTTTTGGCTCAGCATCTTTTACTCTAATGTGAAAATATACTACATGATTGGGCCCTGAGGTTTAAGTTGAAGGTCCCCTTTCCATCCCAGCTATAGAGCGAGGATGCGCACCATGTTGGAACTAGAGAAGCCTCACTCTGGGGCACGCACGAGAACATGGTAACCACAGATGCGATACTTTTCTTGGACAGTCTTGGCATGTCTAAACTTGAAAGGCATCATCATTAGAATAATATGGAGGTTTTTCTGTTTTACATAAAAACTAAATTAACCATAAACTTTATAACTCTAATGAGGCACACTGGAAAACACTGCTCACAACTTACCAAATCTCTATTGTTCCAATAGAGGCTGCCGCTGTAGTGAATGGGTAGCATACAGTAGGCAGCCAATATGTGCATGTTGACTTAGTTGCTTTCCAAGAAATGAAGGGCGGTGGTAGGAAATTACACTTTGCAACACTTAAGGAAGTCAGATGGTAGATACTTTACATAGGTTCTTTCATTTGATCCTAACATCGCCCTTGTGAGGTTGGGATCATTCTCTCTGTTCACTAACAAGAAAGCTAAGGAACTGAGATTCCAGGGCTGGCATTAATAATTGATGGAGGAGAATTCAGACTCAGGTCTATCAGATTCTACAATCTATATTCTGTTTTTTTTTTTCATTATCCCACACTGTCTCTTAGATTTATGAATATAAATACAGAGAAAAGAAGGAGTGAAAGAGTAAGTAAATGACAAATAGTGGGAGGAAAGAAATAGTCTTGAGACATTTACTATGTGTCATGTATTTTATTACTGTGCATAAATTTAATTTGCCTAAGAACCTTGTGAAATATTTATTACGACCCCAGTTTTAGAGATGAGTTAGATGAGACCCATGGGGGTTAATTACTTGGTGAGGATATGTAGCTAGTAAGTGGGAAAATTAGGATTTAACATTAGTTCTATCTGCCCCTGAAGCACGATCTCCTTTCATTATACAATCCTGCTTGAATATGGGCATGTTAAATTCTCATCTCAGCTTGGTCCTTTATTAGTGACTCAGCCAGTTGCTCAGACTCTCCAGGCCCCAATTTCTCATCTGTAAAATGACAGATGTCCTACCTATTTTAGAGGCTTCTTAGGAGCATCACATGAAAAAAGTATGCTGCAAAAGAACTTTGAAGAGTTCATAAATTATTAAAAATGCAATGAGGATTATAAAAATATTAGAGCGAGGAATCGCTAATATTTGGCAAGATCTTAAAAGATCCACAGACAAGCCATGTCCTGTAGCTGGTTAAGTGGATCTGGCGAGAGATTATTCACTAATTCCCCAGGAAGGAAGGTTCTCTGGTTTTCCCACTCAACACCTGGGCAAGCATAGGTACAGAACTGGAAATTTGATAACATGTAAGACAAAGTCCTTTTTTTAAAAAATCAAAATTCTTGACTTGAATCTTATGGTTATATACCTGGAGTGAGTCCATATTACCTATAAACATTGGCACCAAGAACTTACCAGAAATTCTTATAAGAAACAAAAACATCTACCAAATATTATCCCATAGGTTATTTGTTTTGTTTAGATTACTGAAATAAAGTTCACTGACAAAACCGGAAATTAATTGTAGCAGAACAATTTAAATCTTTTTCTATATGCTCAGGACTATAATAACACTTATCCAAAAGCTAATATATAAAGTCAACAAAAGACACAAATACTTGAATAATGCTTATATATGCTTATCTAAAACCATGCCACAGAGTCTGAGCTAAAATTTGTACTCAACTGTCAAATTAAATGACTGATATTCAGCAGGGCTAGAAATCATGTTATTTAATGTTATTAGGAAGAGAAGAAACTACAGTATGAGTATAATTTTTTCTCTTGCTATGTAATAGGAAATGTTTGAGAGTTAGTGGCGATATTTACTTTATTTAGGGTTTTCGAAAGCTTAAATCAAATCACAATGCTGAAAGACAGTTGATTAACACACTTAATAGTAATATTGACAAAAACAGCAAAACAATGTTTATTGAGCACTTAATATATGCTATATTATGCACTAAGAACTTTTCCTACATTATTTCATTTGATTCTTAATAACAATAACAATGCACAGATACTCTTCTTATCCCCTTCAAACTGACTAAAATGATGTGAAATAATTTGCCCAAGGTCACAGCCAGCAAGAAGAAGGGCCAGCAGGTGAGCTCAAATCCCAATGATTAGGGGCTGGGAAGTACCCGTAAGAAATTGAAATCAGAGGGCCTTACTTTACTTCATTTTTCTTCTGCCCTTTCTCCTACTGCCTGAGAAATAGTCAGTGCTCTGAAGGAATACAGAAGGGAACATTTCCTCTTATTAACTTCAAAATAAGAACAATGGGAAAGCTGGTACAAGAAATGGGTTAGAACAAATTAAATGTCAGCTGAGCATAAAACTCATCCTTTTACCAGGAGTCACACTGCTTTCTGCCCTACTTTTCTTTCACTATCTACTTCGATTTTTATTGAAGAGGAATTTAAGCTATTGTGACTATTTTTCCAGGAAAATTAAGTACTTAAAATTATAGAGCACATGTTCTGAGAGCCCTAAGTTAGAAAGTAAGCATTCCCATAAGCTTTGTATTCTTTCTCACCAGAAATTAATTTGCCGTGGGCCAAGAAGTAATATCCTTTGGAAAAACATTCTGAACAATGATGCAAACTGACACACCTTGGCATATTATACTATAGATTTTCAAAGGCTTTTATGTGACTCACCTCTCCTAAGAAATCCATGGAGTTATTTTCCACAATCATGGGGATTTCTGGCTTAGCTTAAAGGCAAATAGAACACAGTTAGTGGCAACAAATGCCATCCTACCTGACCGTGTGTGTGTTTATGTGTGTGTGTGTGATTTTGTGTGTGTGTATGTGCATGCGCATGAGAGAGAGAGAGAGAGAGAGAGAGAGAGAGAGAGAGAGATATTGATTCATCATTTGTCAAATATTTATTAAACACCCACTCTGTGCCTGGCAGTATGCCTAGGAAACAAAGAAGGACAAATCATCTTCCTTGTCCTCAAAAAAATTTGTATTTTCATGCAAAACACACATACATAAACTAGAAAGTAGAATATACTGAGATATGTACCATAATTGAGGACATGTATGATTTGAAGAAAGCTTTAAGAGAAGCTGCTAACCCAGCGTTGGGGAGGATAAGAGAAGTCTTTTGAAACATCCAACAGATACTTGAATGATGATTATCAATGAGTCAAGTGAAATGGGGAATATAGAAGAGGGGACGGGCAGGTGGTGGGGAAAGAGAAGAGAGGAGTATTTTGTGTCTGAAGGCCATACAGTATAATTTATAGACCTCTGAAGAGACAGGGAAAACACCTGATACTTGTTTAGTTGCCTGGCACTAGAAAATATCAGGGACTATTTCAGTGATTTTGTTGTCCTACTAGACTGTAACTGCCTCAAAGCCAGATTGTTTTACTCATTTCTCCATCTCTAGCACTTAACAGTGCCCAGTACAAAGCAGACACTGAGTAGTACATCATGTTGAACTTAAGTAAGTTCTTGAGTACAGCAAAGCTGTCTATGAACCAGTGGAGAAAATATTAAGGCCCTATCCAAGTGTCATCAATGCCTGCAAATCCACTGGGCATTTGCCTCTACTTACTGAGACCTCTTGCTAGGCATACCTAAGACTCTCTCCTAAGGATTTACTGGGGTTATGGGTGCAGACTGAGTCCACAAGTAGGGCAAACTTTAAGTCCTAGAGAGTTCATGGTAATAACAGATCCCCTAGCTTCCTTGCCTTCATTTGGGAAAACTCTGATGTGTATTCTCCCAGAATTCCCTGGGGCATTGAGCTCTAAGCCCATAGCTCGGTTGTGTACATTCTATTATCTTCCTTACCTTCTGACGTTTCTTCTACTTCTGATGTTTTCTAGGATTACCTCTTAAATGAATTAATTTAACTCAAATAATTGTCTCAGTGGTTTCTTTCAGGGGAACACAAACCAAGCTACAATCCTAAAACACTAACAGGAGGAAGGGTATTTCTGACTTCCTGTTAATAACAAATACCAGTAGAATGAAGGACTCAAAAGAAAAAGCAATTACTAAAAGTTGCAGGGTGATAGAGATTCTTTTCGAATCAAGTTTAAAGTTAAGGAGTGGGGGAGTGCAAATCTGTGATGGCAGGTGACTTCCCTCTAAATAAAGTATAGTTAAAGAAGACTAATGAGGGAAATGCAGGCAGTAGCAGAGGAGCTGGGCAAGCTTCTTATCCCTGTTCTGTTAGAGAATGAAGACATTGTTCAGGAAGAAGAAATAAGCTGTCTTTATTTAGATACATGTTTTTAGCTTTCATGTTTTTAGTTTTGGCTTATTCTATATGAGGAATCACCAAGAGATGCAAAGTAGGTTCTGAATAAGATACATATTGACTTCTGTGCCAGGGCCACTATAATATACGTTCAGGTGACCCCCACAAATAGGTTAAAAACTAGATAGGTTGTCCTAACACAACCTAGCTGGCCCATTTGCTAAAGGAGAAAGCCAGGAAGTGGGGAAAATCTAATTCTATTAACAAGTAAGCAGTCTCATATCTTTAAGTATCCACTGAAAGGAATTCAAAGAAGAAACGAAAAGAAATGTAGAGACAGAGAGATATAGAGACAGACAGGGTGATGAGTGAGATGTGAAAGAGTCAAAAGTATTCAAGACCAAGATGAAGGTATTTTAACATAGCAAAGAAATACAGGGCATGGTTTAAACATTGACAAGGCAATTAGATCAGGTTATGGTACAAAAACCCATGGTCAAATGGGACACAGTTTGCCTAACTTAGAATTAATATTTCTTTGCACATCCCAGGTGACTGTCTTCATTGCTTTGCCAGTAGTTAGGCCAGATGAGCTAGTTTTATGTTTGTGCTAAGACAGTTACAGTCCAGTAAGTGAGCTGACGGTGATAACAAAAATATGAGCAGACATTTTAAACTTTTCACAGAACATTATTTAGGCTCCATAAGAAACCTGACCATCAAGGTGATTGGTTATTTCCTAGTCCATCAATGTGGAGAGATGGAGAAGAAGGGAAGGAGGGAGGAAGGAAGGAAGAGCTGGAGGAAGAAGGCAAGATCCAGAGAGAGGGAGAGATAAAGGAAAAGCTATAAGCAAGTGACTTCAAACTAAATTAACCTTGGCAGTAGTTACGCCATCTTTATGAAGTACACCATCTTTATGAACTTTCCTTCAAAATACTGAATTATGTAATCTCTAATAATAATGCAATACGATTCTAAGTAAAATGTAAAAACAAATTTTTTTTTCACTTGTTCTGTCATTTGGGGAACTGAGGAAAAAAATCTAGCAGCCGATAACCTTACATTCTGTGAAGTTATTTTCTTTTCATTTACTTTATTCTCAAAACCAATTAACTGCTCATTCACATCACTGCTTTTCTCTTTGCCTTAATTTAAAAATGTCATTTTGAAAAACACAGTTCTTGGTCACAAAGATGAACAAAGGTATTCAAAGCTAGGGTTTTCTGTTTATTAATATTTCCTTACATCACTGAACAAAATAGAAAATTTAGATTTCCCTCTCAATTTGGACCCTACAGGGTCAGAGGGCCATCCCTTCAGGCTCCTTTGCTGGTGGAGCTGGACAATCTTCACTTCACTTGGCTTTGGTGAGGGTAAGGGGACCCCTGTAGAGTTTCTTTGAAGCTGTATGTATCATTTTCCTTTTTTCACACTGGCTTTATTCTGTATTGCTCCAGCAAGCAACTAAGATGATTAGGCAACTAAGCAATTAGACTTTGGAATTTATAATTAAAGAGCTCTCTAGAATTCTTAGAAAACATTAAAATTGTAAATAAGGTAGTGACCACCAGAAAATTGACCAATCTATGGTTTCCATGTGATTTTATTCTATTAACTGAATCACCATTCTTTTACTTCTTACTCTCATCCCCACCCTCAACATGAATGACAAGTGTCAAGGTAAACAGAACTCTAGAATAGCTACCCTTACATGGCTGCATTCCAGCTAACAGGGTGCTTCCTCTCTAAGGGAAAGTGAGGCAGGAGACTTTGAAGGAGAATGGCGAGGGATCCAGAAAACAGAAACTCTTACCAAAAACCTTGATTGTAGTAGAACTCCTTAAGATTTTGCCAGGCCTGACTATGACGTGGCAAGAGAACTTCCGGTCATCATCATGAATTTGGACTGGAGAGAGGTAGAGCCCATAGTCCGTGCCTAGCTTGACTCTGTCTTTAAATAATGTGGAATTGCTGATGGAGTGATCTTCAGTAATAAGTATTTCCTGAGTTCCATTATCCTCCTGGTGAGAAAAATAATTACCAGTTATTGAGCACTCAGCTGTGCCAGCTCTGTGCTAGGTATTCCACATGTACTAATTCATTTATATCTTGTAAAAATAGAGATTATGAATGAAGAATTGAAATTAAGAGATATTTAATGTTACTAGACAAAGTTTCATTACACTTAACTTTCAGTTAAAAACTCCTGTCACCTTTTTCTAACATGAATAGAAACTTGCTGCTCTTCTGATTAGAACTTCCCCTTCGTAACTCTTTACAAGTTGCATATCTGGGATGGGATTTGGGAGGCACAGCACTGGGGGCTAATGGCAGATCATAATTCTCAGTTCAAGTTCAAAGTTCAGAAATCTTAATACTAAGATGTACTGAGGAGGCTGTATCAATTCTACTTATTAAATTTTCACCTGAATCGGATGATCAAAGTCACCCTCTCTTCCCAGCATTACTTCAGAAAAGGTCTCATTTTAGTTCTCCTCAGAGCCAGGACTCTAATGAGATAAGGAGACTCTCCTATGGCATGAAATTTAAGGAGGTATTAATTCTCTGGATCTTGTACGTGCAGGCTGGGCACCCGAAAGTGAGTGCTCCTTAAATTTTGTGCTGTAGGCTCCTCCTTGCCTTCTCACCTCAGTCTAGTCACTGTCTTTGCCCTTCTGCCTTATTTCTGTTTCTGTGCTACCTCAAAGAGGACACATGATGAGCAGGCTGGAAATGTTAATCTGAATTTTGGAGATTAGAGTTTATTTGGAGTACCTGGTTCCTTTATTCCATATCCTTTCTTGGGTTTGTGAGAAAAATCCCCATTATTCTTGCCCTACTCAGAATTTCTATAGACAAAAGGCCTGGGAGTGTCACAGTGTTGGTCAATGTCAGTAAATGTGCTAAGGACCCAGTGAGGAGGGTGCTCTTGAGGGGCTACAAGGGTAGAGGAAGGGTTATGTCCTCATACCCTTTAGTATGACTCAATCATCTTAATTGAGTTGCTTTGAAAACATTGATCCATAAGCTTCTTCTCTGGAGATTTGAACTCAGTTTTTCTGGGTTGAGACCCGGGTTGGGGCATTTTTTTTTTTTTAAAAAAAAGGCCCTCAGAGGAGCCAGGGCTGAGAACCACTCCTCTAACTCTAAACCACAGTTGAATCGTTATGCTCAGAAGCCAAGAGAAATGGAGGCAATCAAAGTTTACAAGAGTGAACGCTAATGTATCTGATGGGGCAGAAGTCGTAAAATAGTAAAAAAATGGAAATTTGTTACTTGGAATCTCTAGTTTAAAAAAATTAGACAGATTTCGGGTAGAAGAAATGAATGCCAGGTGAGTGAGAGAATTCTAGTATGGGCTGGGAGCTTAAACAGTGGAAACAGGAACGTAGACTTCTTAAATCGTTTATGTAGATATTTCCTGAATATACTTAGTAAAAACTCTTATGTAAGACACAATCTGTAAGTGATTATGGTTAACATTGGTGTCAGATTTATAAACAGATGTATATAAACAGTACTGCATGCAGAGAGAGAAGCATACGCTACTTAAGACGTTCTCTTAAGTAACATACATTCCTTTATACCCACATAAAGGGCTACTCTGTGCTGCTATCCTCTTGATGAAGAAGGGTAAAAAAAAATTAAAAGGAGAGAGTTTAAATTCTGGAAACAGGGACTCCAGAAAGACCCCTAAGTATTGGGTGGTGACAGCACAAAAAAGTGGAAGGCATTTCACTCAGCGTCTGCTAATCTGGAGACCAATAATTAAGGAGGCAGGCGCCCCCTGCAGGTCCTCCAGCACGAGTTGAATTTTACAGCTCCTGCTTTAAGCACAGGGACTGTTTTTATGAGGATCTTGAAGTTCAAAATGTTTCTTGGTCATTTAGTAAATGACTAGCCACCTGGAACATTTCCATCTGTCACTTTGTTGTGGGAAGAAAGGCAGTCAAAAGCTGAGGTTGGAGACTGGTGAGAAAAACTGCTTTTTCCTTTGTATTGTGACTAGCCAGGGTGGTTTCATGGATGGTGAAAAGATACCAAGGAAAAAAAAATTTTTTTCAAAAGTTGTTTTTTTGTTTGTTTTTGTTTTTCTGGGCAGTTAACTGTTGTAGAGGGAAGGGTTTGTTTCTTTGTTAGAAAAGATGGAATTCAGTTGCAAAGCATGCCCTGTAACCTACAACATCCAAAGATCCTAAGACAATCTAGAGTCTCAGTTATAAAAGGGCTGAGGCGAGAACCTGCATGTGAGTAGGTGACTTCACGGAGCAAATGGGAGGAGAGGTGGAAAAAACTAGTGCGAGCAAACAATGAAATGTCTAGAGCTGAGAGAGGGAGAAGTAATACCAATATTATGCTTTGACCACTACTAAAATTTTATATTCTTATTAATCATAGTTTAAATTTATTTAGAGCCTATTATATTTAAGGCACTATGCAAAGTTCTTTCAAGTCTTATCTTATTTGCTCCTTACAACAAAAAACTGAGGATAAGTAACTTCCTCAAAGGTCACACAAAGCAAAAGGTACTTAAGTCACAACATTAGAAAGCAGAGATGCCAAGGACAAGGAAGAAATAAACCTCAGCAATAACATGCATTAATGAAAACCAAACCATCACATAAAACTTTCTGGAGTATTAGAAATGACAAACAAAAGAAATTCTAGGAGGCCAGAGGCCTTTATATACTTTGTAGATCATTGAGGTGTGGGCAATTTGCTGATTAAAAGGGCCCTTGGGAGTCATATAGCCTATGACTAGGGTCATAGAGTATACTTCAACTCCCACCTGATACAGATGATCATAGGGTCTGCAGGAAACAGATTGATAAGGGTGGTGCGTTTGGAGTGGGTTGAGAATCAAAGAACTTGATCTGGTTTGAGTTGCCTTTTGTCCTCTTCTCGTTTTTCAAAGAAAAAATTTTGACAATTTTTTAAAATATTAACAAATATTTGTAGAACTTCCTAGGACTTTCAACTTGATGAACCTTTATGATTTAATGGGAAATGTAGATTGAACTAGCTAACCTACGCTAGTCCTGACACTCAATAGATGTGCAACAAATATGAGCTCACTGTCCTCCAGCTTCACTGATGATTGACCAGCTACCTGATGAGTATTCATTTTCTGCTTGACTAAATTGAGGAATTTTGGAGAGTAACAAAACTAACTCTTTAGAGATTAGTTTTAAATACAAACTGAGTATGAGCATGTGCTAAGTTACTTAGTTGCATTATCTTATTTATACCTACAATAATACTATGATGTCAATACTATAATGATCCCCTTTTAAAGATGAGGGGACTAAAACTTAGGTTAGACAACATATCTATAATATGACTTCTGAGACAAAAGGAAAAACGTATGCCCCTATGTGCACCTATCAAAATATCTTAACATATTTTGACCAAGCGGTAAAGCTAACAAAAACTCTACAATTAAAACTTTAAAAAAAAAAGACTGCATAAAGCCTACATTGCTCTATCTGTTCTCTTCTGTCAACTTTTATACATGTGCCCATGGGGGACATGATGCCATGAAGGCCCAGGAACCACAGGCTGATTGAAAAATACTGTTCCTTGAACAGTATAGCAGGGTGTCAAAACAAACAAACAACATTCCAATAAAATGTTGGAATTTTATTCATTATGGATTTTCCCTAAATTTTCATTTTAAAAAATATTTTATTAATGTTCTTAGCTTGATTATTGATTTTTTGGGGCACTCTCTTAAATTGTGCACTGAAGGTGAGGGCTCTACTCACCCTAATCCTAGGTCCTAGGTTACACAGCTAGTATAAGGTAAAAGCAGGACTTGAAAACAAGAATTTCCCTCCAAAATTCATGTTGTTAATGACTTTGCTATATATTGCCTCACAAAAATAGCAGAATGAACAATTCTTGTCCTTTCTGCTTAAAGTCTATTTGAGAAGAAATTCACAAGAAAAGCAAATACAAAATCAGACCCATAGAAAAGAAATAGATGCATATTTAAGTTACATACAGGTATTGGATAAACTACTTTGCATGATGAGAGCTGGGTCAAGTAATACTGAATCATGATTACGTCTTCCCTATGTTCCTTAAAGACCTCACAAACCTGAAAATAAGTGGTGGAAGGCTTCCTTTTTTTTTTTTTTTTTTTACTAGAAGCAGAATTTTCAATCCAGAAAAGGGGCCTTGGTACTATTTGATTTAGTGACATTATTTCATCTCTGAGATAGGCCAAGCTTCATGTTAGAGCTGGCTGTGTTGACCACAGCAAATGGCAGGTGTTGAGTGTATAGAACTCATTCAATAAATTCTGTTAACTGTATTGATTGCTACTTCTTTATCTACAAACTGCTTCCTATCTTCACATTTCCTCCATTTATTCCCCATCCATTCAGTGCTATCAAAGTAGCTGCTTGCAAAGCTCTTCGCATCCACTTTGTAAACAACAAAGACAATATTTTTCTAATCATCGAAATTGGTTGTCAACACTTTGTAGATTGCTTGCACTTTAATTTTGATCATGGTGAAGACAATTAAGGTCAGCTGTCACCAGGTAGAAGGTGACAGTTTTGTTTTCCGAACAGTGAAGCTTCCGGGCATGGGAAATCAGCATTGTTTATAGCACCATTTCATTTTCTGATTAAGTATAAAACATTGTAAATACTAAAGAAGAGTATATTGAAAGATGCATTTATAGATAAACTTTTATTTGTTCATTCATTTGTTTGGTTTTAGAATGTTAATTTTCTTTCCTTATTTTTGTTTTTACTTATTTTTATTTTTCAATTATTCTTGACATTTAATATTATAATAGCTTTGGGTATATAGCATAGTAGTTAGATATTTATATAAATTACAAAGTGATCCCCCTGGTTAGTCTAGTCTCCACCTGGCACCATACATAGTTATGAAAATATTATTGACTATATTCCCTATGCTGCATTTAAATCTCTGTGACTATTTTGTAAGTGCCATACTTTATCATCAGCAAATTATCTTCTTTCATTAGTAGGTTGTCTTTTAGTTTTGTTGATGGTTTCCTTCACTGAGCAAAAAATTTAGTTTGATGTGGTCCCATTTGTTTATTTTTTCTTTTGTTTCTGTTGCTCAAGGACATACATTAAAAAAAATTCATCCACTAAAGGGTTAATATCTAAAACTTATAAAGAACTTATAAAACCTAACACCAAAAAAAAAAAAAAATACAATTAAAAAATGGGCAGAGGACCTGAATAGACATTTCTCCAGAGGACTTATAGATGGCCAATAGACATGAAAAGATGTTCACTGTCACTAATCATCAGAGAAATGTAAATTAAAACCACAATGAGATATCACTTAACGTGTGTCAGATGGCTTTCATCAGTACATCAACAAACAACAAGTTTTGGTGAGGATATGAAGAAAAGGGAACCCTCGTGAACTGTTGGAGGGATTGCAAATTGGTACAGTCACTATGGAAATATTTTGGAGGTTCCTTGAAAAATCAAAAATAGAACTACCTTATGATTCAGCAATTTCATTTCTGGGTATTTTTCTGAAGAAATCTGAAATGCTAATTCAAAAAGATATATGGATCCCTATGTTCATTGCAGCATTATTTACAATAGCCAAGATATAGAAACAACCTAAATGTCTATTAATAGACAATTGAATAAAGAAGGTGTGGTACATCCATGGAATGGACTGTCACCCAATCATAAAAAGGAATGAAATCTTACCATTTGTGACAACATTGATAGACCTAGAGAGTATTACGCTAAGTGAAATAAGTCAGACAAAGAAAGGCAAAAACCATATGATCTCACTTATATGTGGAATCTAACGAATAGAACAACAGAAACAAAACAGAAACAGACTCATAGATACAGAGAACAAACTGATGGTTGGCAGCTAGGAGAGGGGTTGGGGGCTGAATGAAAAGGTGAAGGGATTAAGAAGTACAAATTAGTAGTTACAAAATAATCACAGGGATGTAAAGTAGAGCATAGGGAATGCAGTCAATAATATTGTAATAACTATGTATGGTGCCAAGTGGGTACTAGACTTTTATTGGAGGAACCACTTTATAAATTATATAAATGTCTAATCACTGTGCTGCACACCTGAAACTAATATAATATTGAATGTCAACTGTCATTGAAAATAAAAATAAATAAAAATAAAAAAGAAAGTTAACATCCCCAAAGCAAAATAGGTCAATAAATAAATTTTTATCTATAAATGTATCCTTTCAATATTTTGTTCTTTAATTTTTATATAAAACATCACAAATATTAAAGAAAAGTATATTGAAAAGAAAGATACGTTTATTAAAATTTAAAGAAATATAAGCATCTAGGCTCTAGTTATATGCCTTTATCACTAATATTGAACTATTTGCTGAAATATTCCTCTCCTCGTCATGATTTTAAAGAGAAAAATCGTGGGTTTCTCTTTATTCACAAACTTTGGGAACAAACATTTTCTCAACAACCCTCTCCCATATCAACTTGTACTCATAGATCCCAAGATCTTGGTGTTATTTCCTGGCTAATTGTTCTTTAATTATTCAGCTCAAACGTTATCTTTGAAAGACGTTTTCTCGGGTCCATCTAGTCAGAATCGAACTATATCCCCTGTATTTTTTACATTTTTTAATCAAAATTTTACTTCATAGTAGGAAATATGTCCAGTATAGTTTGTGTTTCTGAAGGTCACAGCACTCGAAACATATTCTCATATGTTTATTAGATCGAATTGAAATTTATACTGTGGGAAATCAGGACATTAGTTTGGAATGAAAACAGAATATTAGAGTGTATATAGAAGCTCGCAGAATTTCCCTGATGACTATTGCACATTTGTGCCCCAGGATATAAAATGAGAAAAAGATCACTTCTCCTTTATCTATCAACTGCATCCCATCTAAACACACTCATATTCTGTACTTTCTTATACATCACCCCATCATTCGCGTGGACACCAGTGTCCACTGAAGGGTTAACCTTGTGTGTTTACTTAATTATTTCTCACGCTAGATTGATGTTGGGTATCTTGTCTATTTGCATCTGATGACAGTCTACTTCAGTGTAGTCACAATCCTGGAATGTAAATTCCCCAAACGCAGAGGATACACTCCCTGAACACATTTAACACAGCCTTAGTATGGGATCAGATACACATACCAAATAATTTTCTAATGATAAACGAGGATCCCAATAATAACCTTTTTCCATGAGCGTCATAACTGAATTAATTAGATTTTATAAAATTCCACCTATAGGAAGACATGGCTTTTGTTTTCCAGTGACTTATATTAAAATAATTTTAGTTTGTAAAATTGTTTCCAAGATTTAACACGAGCTTGAAGTGGAAGCGTGTGCAGCTTCTCAGAGTTACTGAATTCAATATAGCAGGTTTCTGCCTTCCTGAGTTCATCTTCACCATCATCTCTGCTTTTAACCTTTTTCTAAAAGCCACAGTATATCATGGTTGTGAGAACAATTGACTTATCATTATAATTATTATTGCTAGTTCAACAAGATACTAAAAATCTAAAATAGGGATTTGAGAGGATATTTATGTCCTCTGCAGACCTATAACAGTTATGACATGAAGAGCTTCATTTTATTTCTTAATATGAGGAAATGAGATAATTTCATATCAGACTTGCTGAATCCCACAGGCGCCAAGAATGTGGAGCACAGATGTAAATCAGGGGAGCAAATAGATTTTGACATTTAAAAAGGGAATGCACAGTAGGAATTTAATCAGCACGTTTCCTAATATAATATTCCCTTTGAAGAGAAGTTTCTCTCAAAAAAGATTCCTCAAGTGTGCATGGTGATGCATTCTTTAAAGTGACAGCATGGCTTGAGGTTCTAACAGAAGTTTAGGACTCACTCTCTCAGCGTGTGACCTTAGGTGTACTTTCTCTGCCTCTCATTTATTCTAAATGTCCTGGCAGAATCCAAAGATAGTGTCTATTTAGCCTTCTCAGTTTCTTTAAAGAAAACTACTAGATAAGGATGCCTTATCAGTTATCTAGTCACTGATACTCGATGAACTGCTATTCATTAACCAAACAGCCAGCATCAATTTAGTGACCATCAATTTAATACGAGAAAAACATACAGGACTGTGAGGAAGGAGACAAAGAGAAACAGATCCTTTCAATTATTTACTGAGTGCCTATGTTCTAGGCACCATATCAAATCCTAGGGATTTTTGAAGCGAGCGATGCAGCTTTTTGCTCTGGAGATGCTCAGCGTCATATAAAAGACACAGGTCAAGTAAAAGGCTTTTTACATTTGTTTGGAAAAACGAATTATACACCTTTAAGATAAGACACTACAGATCAACTTATTAGCCTCCAAAAGCCTCCACAGTAAAATTTTATTAAACTTTATTAGGATTTATTATTATTAAACTTTATTATGCCCATAGATATTTGAATTTATGAAAATTAGAATGAAAACTTTTTACCTATTGGTGGAAACTATTAAAAATGTAAATAAGGTATAGAAAGTTTATTTCTCTAACTGTAATGTTAGTATAGTGGGTTTCTGCCCTCCTGAGGTCATTCCATTATAATTTTTTTAAGAACTACATTGTATTACATTTGTTAAGAAAAATGGACTTATATTAACGAGAGGCATAATATCCAGAAAACTTACATTTTAAAAAACAATCCTATGAAGGGAAAAGAATGTTTTCTGACAAAGAGACATTGTAGACTTTAGAATAGTTTGAAGATGTTATTTTAGAATATTTTTTTCTTTTTATACTACTGACCAAAAAAAAAAAAAAAAAATGTAGATAAGGAAAAATATCAGTAGGCTATTTTTTAAGGCCCACTTGTAAGTCAGTTATCTTGGATTTGCCACAGACCCAGAGGAATCTTTTTATGTGAAAGGTCTAGTTTCCAGGACATTCCATAAAAATCTAAGAAACTTATAATACAAATGATAAATCATGGAAATACAATATTTTACAAACTATAGACCTGCTACATTAATAGAGATCAATGAGTTATGCAGAATTTTAAAATTTTGTGTTTTTATTGTGATGACTATCTAAAAAATTAACCATATTCTGGATCACCTAAATGAATACCCTCTTATATAATTCTCAAAATTGTGTTTATAATTATAATTCTCTTAGTTTTGTGTTATCATCCGATTTAACAGTATTAGAGGTCTGCTATACATACTGACTAATACCTGCTTCTCATCCAGTATGCTTTCCTATTATTATTTGTTATTCATTTTTACTGCATTAATATTTAAAGATTATTGCAGTTATTCACTGAAAAGGGCAACACTTACCACCGACCATGCAAAGGTGAACTCAGATGAAATTTCTGAGGAGATATTTTGAAAGCATGGTATTTCCAGAGTCTCATTTATCTCTATTTCTATTGTATTGTTGCTTCTCCATTCATCCTGTGTAACTGTAACAAAACATAAGGTGGAAAAGACATAGATCTGTGGCTGGTTTATAAGGTGATTTTTTTCAAAGAAATAAGAATAGTTTAAATATGGTCCTAATCGTATAAATGGCAAAACACAGAGCCATCGAGAAGTTTGCTTATCACTAAAAAATTATTGGGAATCTATCCTCTTAGAATCCAGCTCAAAATGTGGCATGTTCCTTTGCTTTATCCCCAAATTAGTGCTTTAGTTGTCAGATCATATTTCCTTAATCAAATAGAATATAAAACTTTATAACCTAGTCGCTAATTCTCTTTTCAGAATTTTTAGTAAACTAATTTTTTTTTAAGTCTGTGAACCTAAAACAGCAAAATTGAGCAGAAACACAGAGAGCTCCCTTGACGCCATGCTTGTAGCCTCCCCCACTATTAACTTCCCTAACCACACTGGTACATTTGTTATAATTGATGAACCTACACTGACATATCATTAGCACCCAAAGTGCATAGTTTATTTACATTAAATTTCACTCTTGGTGCTGTATATTCTTGAGTTTTGACAAATGTATAATGATATGTGTCCACCATTGCAGTATCATACAGAATAATTTTCCTACCCTAAAAATCATCTGTGCTCTGCCTATCCATCCCTCCCTCCCACAAACTCTTGACAATCAACTGATCTTTTTACTGTTTTCATAATTTTTTCTATAGAGCTTATAAACATTCTTTTGTAGAAGGAATGATACTAAAAATATATATAAAGAAACCAAGGAATTAACGAACAATTTTCATTGTTAAAGTGATATGAGATAAATATCTGTTCTCTAGTCTTTGGGGGGAAAGTTTTATATATATGTATATGTGTGTGTGTGTGTGTGTGTATGTACATTCATCCATTTGTGACTAAACTATAACATCAAATGATAATTTTTTAAATGGAAACAACTCTATCATCCAAATATCCTGAAAATCTTATTTTCATTTTTTCTAAATCTTGTTTGCATGTGTTTTTTCATGTTTTGCAATTACATGAAACAGCAAATGTTACCGATATTTGTACTTAACAATGTTTTGCATGATTCTTAAACTATTTGTGGTTGACGTTTTAGAGGCTTAATGTCATCCATCATGTATACCCAGCATCATTTGTTTAGTCACTTCCAATTACTGAATTGTTTGCTCTTTTAGTTTGGATTTTTACTTTGTTTAAACTATTAGAATCTATGTAGCAAAGATCATCTTTATACTAATAACTTTCTTCTGACCATTCAACTACTTAAGGAAAATTCCCAGAAGTATGATTAATGGATCATGGAATATGAACTTTCTTCTTCTTATTAATAGTGTGTGTGTGTGTATTTATATATATATTTTTAAGTGGAATATTTCTCAGCTTGAGATTGTTATATCTAGCTTTTAGAACTTTGTTAAATTTTAACCTCGCTTCAGTTTTAGCTATCCTCTTTACTGATAAGTCTTTCCTCTTCTTACCCTTAATTAAAACAAGACCTTCCTATTAGGGCACATCTTCTTGGCATCATTCTCAAATAGTGGTTGTTTATTTTCTTGTATCTTTATTTCTTCATGATCAGGAGGTGGGGTCAGTTACTTTCTTGCTCTCCATTGATGCTTCCAACTATTACTTTATCTCCACAATTTAAAAGAAAAAAAGCACTGTCCTTAATGGTTAAAGGCATTGAGCTATAACAGTACTTCCAAATGGAGTTGTTTGTATACCATCATCACATTTTTTTGCCATATTTACATACCACCATTACTACTATTTAATTTTATACTTTAAATTATTGTGATTGTTTTACTTACATAAATTTATTTTAGACAGAGACTTATCTAGGCATTTAATATTTGTGTAGTCCATGAAATCCACTTGATATGTTAATTATATTTTAATGTACCTTACCCAAACATACGAGTATCGAATTTTTGTAAAGTTTGTCCAGATTCTGAGATTGTTGTTAAAGAATTAAGAATATATCAAAAACAATAAATTAAAAATATAATGTCAGAAATTAAGTACTAATTTGATGGGAATGAAAATTTATTGGACATCACAAAAGATAGATTCATGAGTTGAAAAATAAGTCAATAGAAAATTTCTAAAGTGAACCACAGAAAAAAGTAGAAAATATAGAAAAACATTAGGGATATGTATTAATTAAAAAGCATGCAAGCGTTAGAAATAACATGATTGAATTTCTATATAACCTAGAAACGGGGAAAATTTTTCTTAACTATGACTCAGAATCAGAACCATCAAGGAAAAAAGAGTGATAAGTTTTATTTCATAAAAGTAAGTTTTATTCTGTGCTGGAAATAATATAAGAAAGTAAGGATAGATGACAAACTAGGAAATATTTGCAACTTACATCACAAAGGGTTAATAGCTTTTATATACGGGACACTTTCAGCATAAAGATAATAACCGTAATGAATTCAAACTCATTAATATTTTTAAATTCATGTGAATGCATGATACTTAACACAAAATACTTATTGCCACCTAAAAGTAAGAGTGAATCAATTCATTTTAAATCTGGTAAAAAGAAGGCATTAAGAATCAATTCTGCTTTTCTTTTCAAAACTGTTCATCTAGTAAATAATTTTTTGATGCGAAGAATTTTGTCTTTATAGAAATACTTCAGCTAACAAATGAAAGAATAATAAAATTAGAACATCACTATTTAGCAACCCATAATGAACTAATGAATCTCAGTAATACTCATCAGTGGCTGTTTATATTACATGGCCAGACATATGTCTCTGATGTAACTATACAACATCATCTATGAAGTACTCATGCCAAAAAATAAAAACAACAACAACAAAAACCTTAATGTGATCAAATGTCTCTGAACATAATTAAAAGATGAAAGAGGAACATGGAAATAACGTGGGAATGTAAGAGCAAAATACAGACTATGGTTAATTCTATAGGACAAATAATCAAGTTTACTCAACAAACACATTGCAAAAGAAAAATAAAAAATGTCAGATAGCCTTCAGGTTTAAAAATATTTATTAAATGATCACAATAAATTGAGTTTGTCTGGATCCTAACTCGAACAAAATGTAAAAATAAAAATTGGGGCCAACTGGATATTAGATGACATTAAGGACCTACTATTTTTATTAGTTCTGGCAGTGGTTTTATGGCTGTATATTTTTTACTACATTCTTATGTTTTTAAGATTCATTCTAAAACGAATAGGACATCTTGGATTTTCTTCAAAATAATCTAAGAGGGAAGAAGTTGATAAGGGTTTAAATGAAATGAGATTGTCTATGAGTTGATAATTTTTGAAGTTGTATGTTCAGTACATGAGAGCTCATGATGCTGTTCAATATAACTTTCTATTTGTTTGAAATTTTCCACAATTAGAGGTTTTTAAGTTTTTTTCATGAATCACCTAAAACCATCTTGAGTACTGCTGTAACACATTTTGAGAAATACAATCCCTCTTTTCCCCAATTAATTGCTATTATTTTCTAATCCAGAGGTTGTAAAACTGTGGCCTGTGGGCCAAATTTGTCTTGCTGTCTGATTTTGTAAGTAAAGTTCTATTGAAAAACAGCCAGACCCATTCACTTACATATTGTCTATAAGTGCTTTTATGCTCTGAAGGCAGAGCTGAATAGTTGTGACAGAGATTGTGTGGACCACAAAGCCTAAAGTATTTACTATCTAGCCCTTCAGAAAAAAAGTTTAAGGACGTTTGCTCTAATCTCCCAATCATCATCCATTATTCTTTGAAGAGGTCGATACCTAGATTGCGATCCCCTTACCCAGCCTAAACTCTGATATAATCCTGAGTGATTTCAGTGACCATACAGATGACTTATCTAATATCTGGCCTCTTAGTTCTTCTCATTCTCATCTCCACTAACTGTCCCTACTCAGTTTCAGCCATTCACTCTTACAATCACATCTTGGACCTATCGTCATGCATACTTGCTCCACCTACAAAAATCACTAATTCAAATTTATAAACACCTTTTCCTTCAGTTTGTTTGTGCAAATAGTGCTATCTCATCTGTTCCATCTCTATTAGTACCATCTTGACTAGTCCCATTCTCTCTACTTTCTCCCATTCTTTTTAATACCTCAAATCCCTTGGCTCAATGTTTGTTTGTTTTTTCACCAATCGAAAGAGAATCCAACTGTAGTAGACTCCAACTATTTACTTTGTAATGCCTTGACCCATTGCCAAGCACTGCTGGTGAAAGGCATAGTGCAAATTGATTTTGTTACACTTTCATGCCATAACCAAAGAAATGGTCAACATTGACCAAAAATCCAAATACATCTACATAGTGATGTATCGATAAAAAATATCCATAAAAAATATTTTAATTCTCCATTCTCTTTTTCTGAAGCCTCCTTTTTTACCCAAAGATGATTTTGTTTGCCATATTAGAAAAACATATAGAAGATGGCACCTCCTTTATTATATGTACTCACCCTATTTTCTCTTCTGTTCCAAAACAAAACAAAACAAAACAAAACAAAACAAAAACCTGTCCTTTTTTCCATTTCAAGATAATCCTACTATTGATGTTATAGATATCATTGCCCCCATCTTCTCAGAAACCTCTCAGTTCATATATTTTATTTTATCTATGGTATATTTAGCGACTCTCTTTCAACTGTATCTTGCCCATTGGCTTTGAAGCATAGTCAAGTGTCTTGCATTAATTTAAACCACCACCACCCTTATGAGAACCCTCATTTGAGCACTCATACCTTTCCCATTATTACTGACAAATTTCTTAGAAATTGTGTCAATATTTGCTGTCTTCATTTCTTTGATTCCTACTCATGCCTCTTCTACCATCAGTCTTACTTCCAACTCCATAACACCACAAAAACAGTTGTTAAGATGATCAATAAATTCTATGTTCCTAAATACAATCCAATAACAGTTTTGTCCACTCAGAACATCAGAATCAATGGCTACTCCTTTTGTGAAATAATATTTTCATTCTAAGTTTTTATAACC